TCGAGTTGGGAAAGTAACGCTCAAGCGTGAAATGCATGTATCCAGTACTTTTCACATGTTTACAGTCCGCTCGAGCGAGGGAATGCACGCTTGAGCGACGACTTGTGTCTCACGCTCGAGCGGAGGTCGAGCGTGAATTGCATGCATCAAGTACTTTTGCTTGAGTTTACAGTCCACTCGAGCGAAGGAAGTCACGCTCGAGCAGAGATCCTTTGTCTGCATGTCCGCTCGAGCGTAGAAAGCCACGCTCGAGCGAGACCCCTGTTTTCTGAAAATTTTGAAAAGTGCTTTAAAGTACATCTTTGCATCCTCATTTCATCCTAGGCATTCCTAGGCCTAGTTTAAGGCATCTTAATGAGGATATTGATGTAGAACCACACCGAGTCAAGATAGGGACTAAGTCATTGATTCCCAAGTGTGTAACTTAGTGTGTGTTCATTTTGTAACTGTGTAGGGTTGGCATCAGAGGATGCTCATTAGCCGCTTATAGCCCATTGTTCTATGAGTAACAATGTTGTAAAGATATGTTCAATTATGAATATTTTCTAAATGATCAACTGTTTTGTTTACTGAAACGTTATTGTTTAATGAATGAATGATTGTCCTATTTGTAAACTGTATTCGTGGCATCCATAGCAATTTACTGTTACTGTACTGTTACTGCTACTGTCACAGAAATCTCTGTCGGTTCCCATGTTGAAACCACTACTGTTTACTGATATGATGGCCATCAACTGACTGTTCGGTCTGTTAAGACCTACTGTATTGTTTGCTATTGGATGTACCACATATAACTGCTATGATTTCTAAATAACTGATATGACTGCTTAAAGACTGAAAGGACATTCATTCTTAACCCCTTTACGCATCTGTTATTCATTGGGATTTAGCTCACTGTTTATATTTATATGTAGGTGTTCAGGCACCGGATCGATGCTAGGAGCATCGGGTTAACTCCCGTTTTGTCAAGCCAACCATTGTGCCTCACTGCGAGGTTCGAAGTCGTCTCAAGCTAAGGCTGTTTTAGGGTGTCACAGTTTCACCATTCCGTCTCTGTTTTGTAATACTGTTTAAGACTTGTACTGTACTCTGAATGTTTGTACATATGGTGTATATATGTCTTGCTTATGAATGTGAAAATGTTCGAAAAAGTCTTTTTGCATACAGGCTGTCACAGCTCATTGGACATCTTTTATTACTGTTTTGGCTTCCGCCAGCCCCTGTACTCTGTATTACTGTCTTTACTGTTAAGCAGGCCTTCGATAATCACGGATCACTAGCCGGTTACGGTGTTAAACCCATAGAGGCGGGTTTGGGTCGTGACAGGAGCATAGGAACCTTAATTGGTAAAACGATGGAATTGGTAGATGTTATGATTAGGAGGAGAGTTAGTATAGCTTGCGTACAAGAAACCAAGTGGACGGGTGAGAAAGTTAGGGAAATTGAGGATACCGGTTTTAAATTGTATTATAGTGGTAAGGATAGACGCAGGAATAGGATAGGAATCATAATTGCCAAGGGTCTTGTGAAAAATATAGTGGCGGTCATTAGGAAAGGGGATAGGATTATGTTAGTGAACTAGTTATTGGAAGGAATATAGTAAACATTATTAGTGCATACGCCCCTCAGGTAAGATTAGATGATCAGACTAAAAGGGATTTTTGGGAGCAAATATATGAGATCTTACAGGAGATACTTGTAGGAGAGAACCTGATTATAGGTGGAGATTTTAATGGCCATGTAGGTATAGATAAATTAGGCTATGAAAGGGTGCATGGTGGATACGGTTTTGGTGACAGAAATGAGGCTGGAGAGAGTATCTTAGATTTTGCGTTGGCTTCTGACCTGGTGGTGGCCAATACTATGTATAAGAAAAGGGAGGAGCATTTGATAACTTTTAAGAGTGGGTCAGTTAAGAGCCAAATAGATTACTTCATAGTGAGAAAAGTGGACCGCCTAAAATGCAATGATTGTAAGGTGATTCCTAGAGAGAGTTTGGCCTCTCAACATAGGATTTTGGTACTAGATTTATGTTTTAGAGTGCAATACTAAGCTAGAAAAGATGGTGGGCATCGTAGGACGAGATGGTGGGACCTAAAAGGGGATAAACTAGAAATATTTAATAATAGAATGGTTAAGGAAAGTACTTGGGACTTGGAAGATGATGCTAACACTATGTGGAACTCTATGGCTAATTATATGAGGAGAATCTCAAGGGAAGTGCTTTGAGAGTCGAAAGGAACGGGATCAAGCTCTAGGGAAACTTGGTGGTGGAGAGAAGAGGTTCAAATAATAGTTAAGGCAAAAAAAGAGTGCTTTAAAAAGTGGCAAAAGGATAGAACTGAGGGAAATCTTAAGAGCTATAGATTGGCTAATAAGGAGGTCAAGAAAGTAGTGACAGAGACTAAGTTGAAAACTTATGATGACCTATACACTAGACTAGATAGTAAGGAGGGAGAGAAGATAGTATACAAACTTGTTAGGATACGGGAGAGGAAAACAAAAGATTTTAATCAAGTTAAGTGCATTAAGAGTGAGGATTCTAAGGTATTGGTGAAGGATGAAGAGATTAAGGAAAGATGAAAAAATTATTTTGAGAAACTATTAAATGAGGAACATGGAGGTACGGCGATAGGGGAAGAAATAGTCAGTAATACGATAAACCAAGACTATAGGTTATATAGCAGGATTATGAACTTTGAAGTGGAGATTGCACTTAAGAAGATGAAATCAAATAAGACTTTAGGACTTGATGATATCCCTATTAAAGCTTGGAAGTGTTTGGGTAAAAAAAGGGTTGCTTGGTTGACTAGGTTATTTGGCAAAATTTTATTGACTAGGAATATGTCAAATGTGTGAAGGAAGAGTATTTTAGTGCTAATTTATAAGAATAAAGGAGATGTCCAGAATTGCAACAACAATAGAGGAATCAAGCTAATGGCCCTGTTTGGTAGAGCTGTGGGAAAGTGCTTATAGCTTATGCCTAAACAGCTTATAGCTTATAATTATGAACATAAACTGATTTCTGACTTATAAATTAAGCATCTCCTGCCCCACTCAAAGAATAAATTGATTTCTGACTTCCAAAAAGCTATAAGCTAAACCAAACACATCAAAATAGCTTAAATTAAGCTGAAATAAACAGCTTTTAAGCTGCACCAAACAGGCACAATGTGTCATATAATGAAAGTGTGGGAGAGGGTGATGGAACGCCGATTGCGAGATATAATAGAGGTGTCAGAGAATCAATTTGGGTTTATGCCTGGTAGGTCAACAATGGAAGCGATTTATCTTTTGAGGAGAGTAATAGAAAAGTATAGAGAAATGAAAAGAAACATTCATATGGTGTTTATCGACCTTGAGAAAGCATATGATAGAGTGTCCCGGGATATTATATAGTGGGTGTTAGAGAAGAAGAGGGTGATAAAAGGTCACATTGATGTGATTAGAGACATGTATGAAGGGGTGGTGACCACTATTAGATCGTCTGCTAGAGAGACAAATGAATTTCCTACCACTGTAAGGTTACACCAAATATCTACCTTAAATCCTTATCTTTTTGCTTTAGTTATGGATGAGTTGACGAGAAATATTCAGGATGACGTGCCATGATTTATGTTTTTTTTGCAGATGATATCGTGCTAGTGGATGAGACTAGAGAATGAGCTAATACAAAGTTGGAGATTTGGAAAAAAGCTCTTGAATTTAAAGGTTTTCGGATAAGCAGAACTAAGACAGAGTACATGGAATGTAAATTTAGTAACAGCAACAATGAAAGCAGAGGAGAAATAAGGATTGAGAACCAAGAACTGCCTAAGAATGAACATTTTCGTTATTTAGAGTCGATTATCATAAGAGCGGGGGAGATTGATGTGGATATGGCTCATAGGATTAAGGCAGGATGGTGTAAATGGAGAAGTTCGTCTAGGGTACTATGCGATAAACGAATACCCATTAGGCTAAAAGGTAAGTTCTATAGAACAGCTATTAGACCAGCGATGTTGTATGAGACGGAGTGTTGGGTAACCAAGAAACAACATGTAGATGAGATGAATGGAGCTGAGATGAGGATACTAAAGTGGATGTGTGGCAAGACTAGACAAGACATAATTAGGAATGAGTGTATTCGAGAATGGGTAAGAGTAGCACCGATAGAAGATAAGTTGAGAGAGAATCGATTAAGATAGTTTAGTCATATTCAACGGAGACCAACAAAGGCAGCAGTGAAGAGATGTGATGCAGTAACGGTAGGTGGAAGGATTAGGGGACGGGGTAGGCCTAGATTAACGTTTGCTAGCGTTGTAAATAGAGATATGAATCTACTTAGGGGTTGTTTTGGATGACCTAAATAAGTGCACTTTTTGTCTTTTTAACGAAAAGATGTACAGAAAAGTAAAAAGGTGATGTGATGGAAAAAAAATAAAAAGATAAAAAGATAGATTATTTTAGAGTTGCCAAACTTGGCCTTAATTAGTTTGACTAACGAAATGGTTTTTGATAAGGCCGCATGAAGAAGAAGGATTCATATAACCTACCCTACTTGATGGAACTTAAGGCTTAGTTTGGTTCGATTCGGTTCGGTTCGATTTAGCTGCATTTTTAAAACAACAAATTATTTTTAGTATGATGCTATAGTTAGTGCATCTTTTTTACAATCTTCAAATTCAAATTTGATAAATAAAAAAAAATTAAAAATCATCGCCAATTATTTCATCAAATAATCAAGAGAGTAATTATTTATTTATTTATTTATTAAATTGAGAACTCATCAAAACATTCATCAAATTTAAATTTAATGAAAATTTAAAAACATGAGACATTGAAAATAAAAAATAAAAAATTCATGAAAAGAAAAATTTGAGATATACATATTTTTTATAAATGTTACGATAAAAAATTGATCAAAAGACTATAATAATCCGTATCAAATTAAATTTTTTACTCAAATTTGATATCAAGTTATATATATGTAAAATAAAATAAAATAAATTCATTCGACATTCAAAAACCAAGCGAAATTCATGTCATTCTGATTATATCTTTGTTGTACAATCTCAGTAATGGAGTGCTTAAAAACAGTGGGGAGAGAATAAGAAGCCAATCTCCATTATAAAAGAAATGCTTCACTACCTTGCAAAAATCAAGTACTCTCTGAAGGCAGTATTCCAAAACAAGAAGAACTGCCGCAGAAACACTGCAAGCCTTTCGACCTAACCCTAATCTCCCCATAACTAAAAGTAAGCTCTTCACCTTCCTGAATATCTCTGGAAGCAAAGAAGCATACCCGAGGAAACAAAGCTCCTGTGCTTCTCACCAATACTGTCGATAGGTTCCCACCATCACAAGAATGGTTAATGAAACGTGCAACGTTTCCAATCACTGTGGCATCAATATTGATCCGCATACAAGCTTTTCCAGATGGAAGATGCTCCTTCACAACCAAAAGAGCAGAAGAAAATTGGCCGCCCAATGAAAGCTCATCATATCTTTGTTGCCGTCTTCTTGCTTCTTTGGTTGTCAAAAGTTCACCTACTCGCATAAATTTGATTCAAACAAAGTTAATAACATAATTCATAAAGGGTGAATCAAATATTTCTGAACCATATAAAGTTCTCAAGCAAAGTTTAACTTTGTAAATTTTGATTTGACACTCTTTACAAAAGCAATCATAGGGGTAGAAAAAGATATAATGTGTGAAGAAAGAAGCTCAAGAATGTAAAGAACAAAATGCCTATCAGAAAAAAGAATGTTAAGAACAAAATATAGAGACCACCTAGTCTCCATTCAGATGTCAAGAATACAGTGCACCAAAAATGTTTTTTGAGAAAAATGAATTACAAGTAAAGAACAATAAAATACACATTATTTTACTTTGGGATTATTTGAGCTTTTTTTCATCTCGAACGCCATATCATACCGTTATAAAAATGGTAAAGTGGTGGCCCCAAAGTGGAATTTGCCCTTGGTGGTTGGTTGAAGCTCGAGTAGGTAGCCACTCCTTTCTCATGGAACCGTACGTGAAGAAGTTCTTCTAAAATCTATGTATAAAAACTAATTGATAGATCAGTCAATAACACAGGCAAAAAGTCATTTTTGCCATGCCAATCCCTTGCCCAGCTGCTGCTGATTCCTCGTATATCACAAATGCCACCGCTTCCTCCCTCCCCCACCAAAGCCCCCAGATATATATACGTAGACTCTCAAAAATCACAATTGCACTTTAACAACAAAAAACAAGTTTGCAAGTAGTCGATACGTGGTGCCTGAGAGTTGGACGAAAAAGCAGCCTCCAAGAACAAAATTACGAACAGAATTTGAAAAGGCCAGTGGTCTCGTTATTCTCAATGGCATTGAATTGCTGAGTATGAAAAACGAAAGGGTCAAAGTAAGGACCCATGGAGCCCGGTTCGTCAATGAAGGCGGCCTCTTTGAGCTAAGGAATTTATCATATGCTTATCTTCTGCATATGATAAACTAACACCACATAATCAATCTGAAATGGGCCTTAAGCAGATTTCAATATTGCTTTAACTTGATACTGGTCAAGGCAAAGGAGGACTTTCCCATAAAAATTCAGATCCTTTGCTGAGATCATTACACATTACTCATCAACTGTTTCAGGTGAGGGAGGGGGAGGGGCGATGATGGTAGCAGGGATTCACGGAAGGAGGGAGGGTCTATGGTAGAGCAGGTAGCAGAGGTGGTGGTGATGGTGGAGAAGAGATAGGCATGGGCAAAATGATCTTTTGCCTATATTTATAAATTAGTTCCTAATACATAGACTTCAGAATAAAATTTCAATTTAATGGACTTAACTGTAATCAATCCGCCAACCATCCCATAGAGGCCTCTAATATCATCAATCCTCCAACCACCCATCATGCTACTATATCTGTCCACAATCACTCTGCTCCAAGGAGTCTCACTTTCACTCACCCAAGAAAGTCTTGTCAAACATATTAAGCTTCCTTAATCATAATCCCCAACCTGGCCACAATTGACTGGCATGCACACCTCCTTCCAGTCTACAACATGATATTTAAACTGACTCCTAGCCCTCCCAACAAGAAATCCCTCATCAGTTTATTCAGCCTCCGAACCATAGTCATAGTCATAATGAAAAGAAACGGGAAGTATGTAAGCAAATTGGATTCACCCGCCTTTAGAAAGATACTAAAGGTAAACCCAACTAGAAGCCAAAAACTCAGTCCTACAAACCAAAGGGTGTCAATGCATTTCACCCATTCTAACATCCTTTCTCTTAACCAAGGCATGTCAACACACACCTCAAATATCTCCACCTTTGATTCAATAACATTACCTATCACACACATTGGCTCTCTTTGGAAAGTTGGAAAATAAATGATTACATACCTTAGGGTAGAAATTGTGCTAATGATTTTACCTATATTGTGTGGTTAAATTATTTCTTATTATATAGCTAAAATAACAAAAGTATCAATTTTTTTTTTTGTTTTGTTTTATTTCTTCCATATTTAAAGGGACAATTTTGATGTTACAAAAAATAGAAACTAGTTGGTTTCATTTCTCTATCAATCTCTCCATTTTTGAAGAGATTCCAAATGAGTGTTATATCCCTCTCAATTTCTTTCCTTTTGACCCATTTCTCTCCTCAGTATTTATCCAAACAGGTGACATTAACCAAGAAAATTACATTTTTTTCTTCCCAAATCACCCAATCCAAACAGGATTGTAATAGAGTCCCTTATGTATCAGATGATGGTCCTTATTATTCTTTAATTTTTAAATTTTCTTTCTTTTTGCTTCTTTTTACATTATAAACATGAAATCAAATTGGTTACATTACAGTTCATACCTGCATATTCGCAAACAAATTGGCCACTCCCAATGATCTCACCGGCACGCAATCCCCATCCTTTCCTCCCATCTTTCACAATCTTCAGTCGAACACAGACCCCTCTCTGAGTCAACCGATTCCCACACTCCACTCCGCAACGGCAACTCGGCCCGCACTCGCGAGTCAACTCGAACGAGTTCAGGTCCGAGCACGGGCATCCCGAGTCCCCATCATCACACCTTTCGCACGCGCACCCACAAGCATCAGAGACCCAGTAGGAAAACGGGTCGGGTCCGATAATCGGGTTGGAGCCCCAAGACCGAGGAAGAGAACGAGACGGGTCAATCGGGTCGGGGCATAGGGTCTGAGTGGGAGTGTAGATGAAGTAGGAGTAGGGATGGTGGTCGACGGGGTTGAAGAAAGGGATGGGAAGGTTCTCGAAGCCTCTGGAAGCGTCGGAGGATCTTGAGGCGGTGATGGATTTGGAGATGTGGTTTAGGGTTTTGCAGGATGATGAGATGGAAGCTAGTTCTGTAGGGTGCAGATATGGGAGGAGGATGCGAGCACACTCGAACAGATCTCCCTCCTGTCTTTCTTCTTCGACTACTTGGTCTTTCTTTCTGGAACGTTTTTCCATTTGATTGATTGCTCTGTGATTTGGGCTTACCATTTTGGGAAATGTTTGGGCGTGTACCATTTCGACTTGGTTATGATATTTGTGTTATTCGTGTTGTTGGTATATCAGAATTTCGTTTTGGATCTCTATCATTACGGTGGTTGAGGATGATTTAAATAAGTGTATTTTTGTCTTTTTATGAAATATCAGTTGAGTATGAGTTAAGTTTGAAATAATGTAATAGAAATGTGGTATAACTTAAATAAGATAGTGACTTTTTAACTTTTTTAGATTATGACAAACAAAAATTAATATTTTAAATTTAGTAGTAAAATTTTAAAATGATTATGATCTTATTTATAAAATTGTAAAAAATTGTATACCAACCTAATTCTATTAGGATTCAAATTCTATATATATATATATATATATTTTGTTATTTAATGATTTAACTATGTTTATTGTGGAATCTCACGTGGAGAAGAATGATTCATATAGTCCATTTCATTTGATGGGACTTAAGATTTAGGGGTTGTTTGGGATGAGTTAAACAAGTATACTTTTTGTCTTTTTATAAAAAGATGTGCAGAAAAAGTAGAGAGGTGATGTGATGGAGAAAAGATAAAAGGATAAAAAGATAGATTATTTGGGATTTCTCAAACTTGGCCTTAGTTTAGTTGGTTAGTTGGTTTGGTTTTATATATATATATATATATATGTATATATTTATATAAAATTTTGATTATAAATACTTTTTTGAACTGTCTTTTTTAATTTATATTAATATAAAAAAATGCATTATATCTAATTTATCATTTTTTTAATTTTTTTTAAATTAAATAATATATATTATCATTATCATTATCAATAATTTTTTTATTTTGTATTATATTGAAAATAAAATCTTACGATTTTCGATCCGATTTTACGATCCGATCCACGAACCCCTTCCAACGATCCCATGTAGGATCCCGATGTCAACATTCACATCATAAACCTAACCATTTAAAAAATTTATATCATGTGTTGTTTGTTAATGATTTTTTATTGTTATGTTCTATTGAGTGTAGTAACCTCCCTATCTTCTATCTTATGTCAATGTTAGACTTGTTGGTGTTTTACTTGTTGCTAGTGATAAAATAATTACAGAACCAAATTTTTTATGTTTGTTAACCCTCTTTTGGTTCAATGTGAATACTACAGGCATGATGTAAATATTTACATCATATTGTTAATATTGTTAATGACTGAAAACCAATGGCAACATTTTGTTGTTGTTGTTGTTGTTGTTAGTTTTTTGTTATCAGGTGCTATTGTTTTGTAGTAAACTCCCTATCTCTCCCCTTATGTCAATGTTGGACTTGTTGGTGTTGTTGCTTGTTGATGATGATAAAATAATTACAACTCCTAATTTTGGATGTTTGTCAACCTTTTTTTGGTTCAATGTGAATTCCAACAGAGATAATGTCAATATTTACGTCAGATTGTTAATAATTGAAAACCGATGACAACATTTACACCACATGACTCTAACCATTGTAAACATTTACATCATCTGTTGTTGTTGTTGGTTTTTTTGTTGTCATGTGCTACTGTTTTGTATCTCCCCCTTATGTCAATGTTGGTTTGTCATGTGCTATAACCTGTTTATGTGAACATGTACATTGACTATTCACATCCACATTTACTATAATCATTCAACTGTTCACTTGACATATAGTTTGCACTTATTATTATTTATCATTTGTGAACATTGACAGTAAATGTGTTTGCAATTGAACCAACAGATGTTGCTCGTAAAAGTCTTGGCAAATGAAAGAGAGAAGAATTCCACGTCAAAGGCAAAGTCAAACAAATAACTAGCCCCAAAAAGTGAACATGAAAAAGGTCAACTACTAATCAAATATCACTGGGTTGGTGAAACTATTGAGGGTACAAAATTCATAAAGGGTCAACTGTAATGCTTAAGGAAAATTCCGTTTTGGCCCTTATTTGAATGTTTGATCAACACTGAAGTTGACCTCAACCATTGCATGAAATATGATGATGTCATTGTACAGATAGTACAAACATTCAAGCCATCGACTGGAAAGTTTTACATCGTGGAAAAGAGCATCCAAATTTATACAAGTGATGTGTCATTCATTTTTGGGGTGAACTGCGGTACCAAGCCAATGGGTCTCTCTAATGGTGCCAAGCCAACCACCGGCATTATACACCAAATGTACAAGGATGTCACTCGGTTAAGTGCAACAAAGATACAAGAAACTCTTAATGAAGCATTGAAGGGGACAAAGAATAAAGACAATGAAGAGGTTGCAAGATTTGTTTGCATGTATGCATGCATAAAACTGTTCTTCTCCATGTCTAGAGAAACAATTGGATGGGGATTCTGTTCACACATGAACCCATTACACAACATGAACGAGTTGACTGTCTAAAAGCATCCGGGCAAACCTCATAGGGTCAATGGGCCAAAATTAGGGAAAAATCAGGACGAGTCACCGGATGCGTTATGTTGTTAAATGGTACATACCGTACATCTTATTTTATTTGTAATATTAACATTCACATGTTCTGTCTCCTCAAGTATGCAAAACAGATGTGAACATCCACATCTATATGCATAGATGTGAATGATCATATTATTGTATGTTGATGTGAATGTTCATATCATTGTATGTTGATGTGAACATTCACATCAGTGTTTGCAGTTGTGAACATTCACATCAAAAATTATTTTTGTGACAATTAACATTGATGTTCGTTATTTGTTACATACTGGTTGTGTGAGCACACAACCATTCTACAACTCCACCATCCCAATGCTATTCTTAGGTGTGTGAAGTGGGACCTTACCGCTTTACACAACAACATGAAGTCCATCTCTCTATCAAAACTTGGTTTCAATGAGGTAAGACAACACCAAAAATTATTGTGAACATTCACATAATGCCAAAATATCTATGTAACTAACATAACTTTGGCATTTCTAGGTAAATGGTGGCGAACTGATGGCATCACCAACAGAAGCAAAGACCTGCCACCATACCAAATTAAGAGTGGAGCCCAAACATGAGGATTCAGCCACTGCTCCATCCAAAGAAGATGAAAGCAAAGACGATAAGAAGGTGGCAGTAGCGATGGATTTTCTGAGGATGTAATTGATCTAAATGACGTTAACGATAACATCAACATTAGTTTTAACAGCCCCATTGGTGAGAGAGGTATCATCGTAGCAAAAACAGCGAAGCATACGTCATAGATATGCTCGTGAGAAAAAACCAAAAAACTTGGGGCCGCATGCGACAATGGAAAGCAAAATACAAGCACTTGGAAGAATCATGGGAGTTGAGGGTAAGGGTAATCGATGCACTTGAAGCCAAATTATTCGACCAATCAGGCCTATCCAATGTGGACATGGAGATAAAGAATTGCATGAAGCGAAAGGATACAAAAATTCAACGGTTAACAAAACTGGTGATAGACCTAGAATGTGAGAAGACGGTTCTTCAAGACCTTTACGATGATCAGTCCGTCCACATTGTAACACAAGCTGAAGCCCAAAACCTCCATGACAACCTGAAAAAGTATCCTCTTACACCAATGAAAGACATTCTTAATCCATCGTCTAGGGTGAAGTGTATCAAGAAGAAGGAATAGAAAGAGCATCGCTTGGTTGACTTTGAATACCTCGGGCTACTCGAACAAAAGAAAGAGAAAGAAAGAACTGAACCTGTCATGGCCCAACCCCTGCCCCAAGGGATTAGCGAGGTGATCGGCCAGTTATCCTAAGATTACCGAAGGCCTCTTAAACATAATCATAATATTAGGGGCTGGCAGAAGCAAATATACAAACATATATCGTCCATTAAGCTGTGCAAACTTATATGAAACAGAGAAAATTTCATCTTTATATATATATTATAATATCATTATTACATCATCACATATTACAGATAAAACAAAAAGGGAACTTAACCCTATTTACAAAATAAAAACTTGTTCAAACTTAACAAAAAAAAAAAAAAAAAAAAACGAAGACTTTAACCCTTGATCACAAAAGTCTTGATCACAACATTGTTTTGGAACCTCCACGTGAGACACATAGGTTGGCTGACAAAAACAGAGTCCAGACAGACGCCTTTAAGCCTGGTCATGCGCTTGATCACCTACATACATAAATATAACAGTGAGCTGAAACCCAGTGAATAACAACAACGTAAAGGGTTTAATGAATGATGTCCCATAAACAAATTCAGAAATCAAAATTCAGATTATATCAAAATTAGAATCATATTCAGACTTATAAATAATCATGCATGATACATCCATTAGCTAACAGAGCAGAAGGTCTTAAAAGACCTGCTCAAATCAGACAGATGATTATACATAATCAGACAGATAACCATATAGGTTAAACAGATAGTTCCATGATTGGAACTGTAGACACCCCATTTTTGACCGACCTTAAGACTCAGACGTCATCAACTGAGCGCTCGATGATCGCGCATGATTGTGCTCGTTTCGGGTTTCTGGAGTTTTCGGCTGAGTGTCTTACCTCCGGGCCTCTGAACTCTTTGTGTTTTGGCTCGGTTTATGGACCAAGCATTGTTGACCTAGCCTGAAGGGAGGGAGGGGTCTGTAGACCACTTTTTGTGGTCGTAGACCACTTTTCCCTCTTGTAGACTAGTTTTCGATTTTCGAAGTCTTCGGCCACCCGCCTTGTCTCGGGACTGCTTAACGTTCTCCTCTTGGCTTGATTTTTGGACCATGCCTTGTTGCCTTGGTCTAGAGGGACACAGAGGTCTTTTAGACCACTTTTCCCTCCCGTAGACCACTTTTGGTGCCCGTAAACTAGTTTTCGAGGTTTTCGGCTGCGTGCCTTAACCCGCCGACTCTTGTCTTGCATCATTTTTGGTTTGTTTTTGACACAAATCTTGTTTTCCTTGCTTGGAGGGTGGAATAAGGGTTGTAGACCAGTTTTTCTCCCTGTAGACCACTTTTCTTCCCCGCCAGCCAGTTTTTTGGTCGGCCAACTGGTCTTGGTGGTCTTTGGACCACCAAAAGTGGTCGGTAGCCATGCCACCACCTTGCTTTCCCCTTGCAGACC